AAGTCCAACATTCTGAACCATGGTGGTCCAGGAATACCTAGTTACTCTGATGCAGTATGGGTAGTTACACAGGTTCTTAAGCCTGGCTGCATAAGTGGAATCATTTGAGGTATGCTCTGTGCCCTGACAAAGCTCTGCTCACTTTATAAAAGACAGAGGGTCATCTTAACTCGAGGGCATTTTGACCTGAAAGTCAGATTGCAGAAGTTAAGCCCTGAATGAACACTTATTTTTATTCTTAGTCATCAGAATCAGATAAATCAATTCTTCCTATTTTTATTTTTTGAGAGAGAGTACTTGCAAATGGGGGAGGGGAGGGGCAAGGGAGGGAGAGAGGCAGAAGGAGGGAGGGAGGAAGGGGGGAAGGAGGGAAAGGGAGGGAGGGAGGAGGAGAGAGGGATGAGGAAGGGAGGAGGAGAGAGAGAGAATGAATTAATGAATGAATATCTCTCTAGTGGGGCTGGATCTCACAACCCTGAGATCACAACCTGAGCAGAAATCAAGAGTCAGAGGCTTAACTGATGGAGCTACCCAGGTATCCCAGTCATCAGATCAGTTCTGATTTAAATAAATTAACACTGATGCCCACCCCCACACACACCTCAATTTCTGTTCTGATTCAATTGATTCTGGACACTAATTTTGTAGTACTCTGCCTGGGTTTGGATCTCATCTCCTACATTTACTATTTAGATAAATTGCTTAACTTCTCTGTATTTAAGTTTCCCTTTCTGTAAAACAAGGGTAATCATAGAGTTGCTGTGAAAAATTAAATAAGTTGACACATTTGAAATACTTAGAACAGTGTTCTGGCACAAAGAAAGTGTTCCATAGTATTAGCTAGTAGTAGTAACAAACTATTTTAATTATTATAATTTGGGGTCATGGAAGAGAAAGGAAGACTTGTAGAGTTTGCAACCCCATGTGAATGACCATGCTGAAATGGTAGCAGAGATAATTGCATTTGAAATGTGTGAAAATGAAATCCTTTCACTGTGAGCTATTACTTTGAGGCTAAATCAGATGATAGGAGATTGAGTTCCATCCGGAATTTGTCTTGATTTTATACATGGAGAAATAAAACTTAACACATGTAGGAAAACAACTCTATTTCTTTTATCACACAGTGGACTCTTGTTGCTAGTTTCCCCTGGCTTAAAAAAAAAATCTAAGGGTAGGCCTTAGAAAAATCAAAACTCATGTTAATCTTCAAATGAACAGCAAAGTTGGGGTTGTGGGGTTCTTATCTTACTTGTCACCATTCTGTGGAGAGGAGGGAACAACCATTCTATTTGTGAGACAGGACAGACAGAAGTGCTATAGAAACCTCCCTGGCCTTTCACCCCATGCCTACTTGCTCCTGGGCACAGGAGAATTGATTTACTTGATTACTAAGATTAGAATAAAAGTAAGTATTCATTCAGGGCTTAACTTCTGCATCCTGGCTCTCTGGACAAAATGCCCTCAAGTTAAGATGACCTTTGGTCTTTCATAAAGTGAGCAGAGCTTAGGGCACAGGCATTGTCTTCCAGTGGCATGCCCACAGGCCCACCTTGTTCTTAATTTGTAGCTTCCACTGAATTGTGACACATGCCATCACTCTCATTGACAGGGGCTGGGTTAGTAGTCTGCTTTACAGATTCAATCTTCCCCATAGGTGGATATCAAACTATAGATTTGAAACTGGAGATAGTAGGGAGCCTAAATAGGCCTTGGGCTTAAACCATGTTATTCCATCCAGTTTTGCTTATAACAAAGCTGATGCTACATTTTGTTCCTCACATGGCTTTGTGTGTTTGTTTTCAGTTTGATTTGGAACCAGATGGAGAAAAGCACTCACCCTCTCCAACCCTAATAAGCAGAAGCAGTAACCATAAAAGTAAAAGAAGTAAAAATCTGAGCATTTTCAAAATGCTTTCCTCATTTAACGGACATGGAAAGTGAGGCTTACAAAAAGGCTTCTGTGATTTACCCAGGGTCAAAATACTAAGTAGCATGTCCAGTACTCAAATTAAAATCTTCAGTATTCTTTTCAGTACATGGCTGAGTATGTTCTTTTCTCTTATTAAGGCCAAGGAGGCCCATACAGACCCCAGAGTCAAGAAGGACAGTAGTTATGATAATGTTACCAAGCTAATAGGAGAGGAAAACAACCTCCCCAAATCTAAGAATCCTCTTGTTCTGAAATTGAGTTTTACTGACCTAAAACTGATTTTTTTCCAGACAAGTTTTTACCTAGAAATCAAGAAATTGAAATAGATCCTCCAAAGTCATGCAAAAATGTATAAATCATAGATAAACATTATACATTTTTTCCCATTTGGATGGAGTGGCCATAAGGGTAGGCTGGGATAGGGGACACAAACCATCGCCTGCCAAGTAAGCAGGCATCACAAAGAGTTTATTCTATGATTTTCTGAGCTGCTGGAGTTCAGTTCTGCAGAAGGAATTTCCTCATAGGTGTTTCCCAGTCTCAAACTCCTTCTGTAGCTTGACATCAAAGGGCCCTCACCTGTGTAGCAGGCAGAACAGATATGGGATGTCATATACCACTGGGTTAGCTTGTTACAAATCATGTAATAATATTAGCATGGGAGAAGCCAGATACTCTAGGTTATAGACCTACTTTCTGCAGTACAAATGAATCAACTGCATGCCACAGTCCTAACCAACTTGAAATAATTATATGGATCTGGTAGTAATTGGTTCTGGTTCTGCCACTAATTGACCATGTCACTTTAGAAAAACTCCTTCTCTGGGTCTCAGTTCCTTCATTTGTAAAAATGATGGGGTTAGACAAGGTTGCCTCCAACTCTAAAATACTATGATTCAACATCAACCACTAGTCTTTATATTACCAACAGATGAGGTTGACTCATACTTCATGGCTGCTGAGAGAAGTACTAAAAGCTTAGATACAATAAAGTCACAAAATCATTCCAAAGCTATTCCCATGGTTGGGTCAATTTAAGAGAGATACATTTGCATTTTTATATCCTGCCTCTTTTGTGCCACCTTCAATCTCCCCTCCCCTTAACAGTCCATGAAGATAAAAATTTCAGACTTAGGTTTCTATCAACCTGAGAAAAAACAGAAGTCAGCGTACTTTTTTGATCCTCTAGTTATCAAGATATGGTTTTATTTCTTGAACCTGTAATCAGATAAAAATGTCCAAAGGACTAAAGAAACTGAGTAGGGCTATTAGTCTAGTCTTTTTCTTAGTTTAATTCCATTTGAAGGAACAATAGGCTCTTCTTGCCTTTGGCAATATAATAATTCTGCTGACATGCTAGAACTACCAAACACCAAGATATAAAATGGTGGCATTTTCTCTCTTTAAAAACAATCAATGCTTTCATTTATGGACTTCAAAGTACATGTGAAACAAAAGTCTCAGCCCTATGAGTCTGAGGTAAATCAAAAGGTTGTAAGTGTCATAGAAAAGTTTCCTGGTTCATTGCCTCTCTTCCAGGTAAGAAAGGAAACAAAAGTACTCCCAACGAGATGAGTGCTCATCTCATTTTTATATTTCTCTTTCAAATGGGCTTAAGCAACTTCCCCAAATAATTCATTGCAATATAGTTCTTCCTTATATCTGGCCAACCTCTCCTTGCTGCTGCAAAGGCCCACTTTCTCTTATTAATCTTGCCTCGACAGTGCTAGAACTCTTCACTGTCTTTCATATCGTCAAGTCTCATTTTGACTTCCAGAAATTCTAAAGGAACACTTGGAAACTAAATTAGGGTCTATGATCAAGTTTAGATACTATCTGAAGCTTCTTTTTTTAAATATTTTGTTTATTTATGAGAGACAGAGAGAGAGAGGCAGAGACATAGGCAGAGGGAGAAGCAGGCTCCATGCAGGGAGCCTGAAGTGGGACTCGATCCGAGGTCTCCAGGATCACACCCTAGGCTGAAGGCGGCGCTAAACCGCTGAGCCACCCCTATCTGAAGCTTCTTGATGGAGTTTAGATATTATCAGGAGGTCCTTATTGTATCATAACGTTCCTGGAGATGCTAGCCTACCTTAGTCAAAGTCATTTCTCCTCTCTGGTTACTAGCACTTTATCTTTAAAATGAAATGAATATGGAAATATACTAACGGGGGGGGGGAATGTCTGTGTGGCTCACTAGGTTAAGCTTCTAACTCTTGATTTCAGCTTAGGTCATGATCTCAGAGTTGTCAGATCAAGCCCCAAGTAGGGCTCCATGCTGGGGGCATGGAGCCCTACTTGGGGTTCTCCCTCTGCCTCTCTCCCTTTCCCCTTCCCCCTCTCTAAAAAAATAATTTAAAAAAACTTAAAAAATATATTCAGGAAAGAATTACTACTATTGATGCAAATTATTATTGAATAGAAGGGTCTTCCTGAAGATCCTGAACTCTTGAGATTTACTCATTATTACAAATGAAAACTGGCTTAAGATCTTTTTATACTGAGCTATTCGTTATTCACATGAACCTTGGGAATACTGCTCAGTACTAGGCGTCATGTATTTAAGCGCAAACCTGGGACACCTGGGTGGCTCAGCAGTTGAATGTCTGCCTTCAGCTCAGGGCAGGATCCCGGAGTACCAGGATTGAGTCCCACATCAGGCTCTCTGCATGGAGCCTGTTTCTCCCTCTGCCTATGTCTCTGCCTCTCTCTGTGTGTCTCTCATGAATAAATAAATAAAATCTTTAAAAAAATAAATGCAAACCTATCTTTCAGTACAGGTCTCTGAGAGAAGACAATGGAAACAGGACTAAAAAAAATAAATAAGGAAACAGGACTATGTCCACATCTGGATCATCACTCTGGTATCATAATTATCCCCAGGTTAGCTGCCCACTCTTCTAGAATGCTGACACTTTCTTTGAATACTAATGTATCATTGCTTAAAACACTGTATTCAATTTTAGTCATCATCCAGATGGCCTTGTTGACTCATAGATTCTTCACTTTAGTGGTAGTATTTGAGAAGATTGGTATCTCTGCTTCTACAAGTTCAGGTGGATCTCAAGTCAGAAGGCAACTGGCATCTTCTGGACAGGAACTTGGCATTATGATCTGATGAGAGTTTAACAAATTCTACTCTTTAGCCATGGAGTATCATCTGAGTAAGTGGACTCACTGCAATTTTTTTAAGATTTTATTTATTTATATTAGAGAGAGAGTGAGAGAGAGAGAGAGCACAAGCAGGGGTGAGAGGGAGAAGCAGGCTCTCTGCTGAGCAGGGAGCCCAATGTGGAACTCGATCCCAGGACCCTGGGACCATGACCTGAGCCGAAGGCAGATGCTTAACTGACTGAGCCACCCAGGTGCCCTGACTCACTGCAATCTTAGACAATTTGTGCTATTGTATCATCGCCAAGGAAACATTTCTATACAGAAAAGGTAAAATTTGAGAGCAAACACACCAAAAAATGCTGAGCTCACCTTAAGATAAAAGCTGCAGGGGTGCCTAGGTGGCTCAGTTGGTTAAAGCTGTCTCTTGACTTTGGCTCAGGTCACTATCTCAGAGTTGTGAAACCAAGCCCCACTTTGGGCTCTGCACTGGGTGTGGAACCTGCTTAAGATTCTCTCTTTCCCCTTCCCTCTGCCTCACTCCCTCAAAAGAAACTGATAAAAAAAGATAAAAGATGCAAAGCAGCTAGATGTATAAAGGAGGAGTTTGTGGTCAAATACTGCAGTATTATCTAATCCAGATTACTACTGATCTACCTCACAGAGGTAGATGGGAAAGGACACCCAAACTCCACCTATGCATTTCCCTTGGGCACTCATGAAATTTCACCCAGTAAAGAGGCAAAGATTCCATTAGAGCCAGGTATTCTTTTCATGAGCACCCAGATTTGATGTGTGGCTTAGGATATAATCTTACAAATGTCTGGAGTTTGACTTTTAGGGCCAAGTGAGGAAGTAAACTGATCAACATTAGGTACCAAGTGCCCAGTTTTATAAACAGCTCCACTCTGGCAATGACAAGAGAATAATAGAGAATATTAAGGCCAATGGAAAGCAATTATTCAGCCAGATATATGATTAATCAACAAGTATATCTTGAGCATCTATTGTGTGCAAGACACTGTATCTCTGCTAAAAGTCGTATGAGTCAGGGGCCTTTCCAATAAGGTGATAAGGACTGAATTAAAAGGCTAAGACATATTCGTATGAACAGATAACTGCAAGGTAATTTATGATCAGTGTCAAAATAGTCATATGAATATAATGAGGAAGGGGATTCAGAGGTACAAATGAACAATTCTAATGGAAGATCTGGAAGGCTTCCTGGAAAAGGTTGGACTAGGTGCTTTCAGTTGGACAGGATTTTGACAGGTTAAAGAAGACAGAGATTACACTAGACAGAAAAAAAAGGCATGAGCAATGTACTAAGAAGGTGGGTGCAATGCTTGTTTGGTAGCAGATCACCTTGGCTGAACTAGAAGATTTATTTTGGGAAGTAGCAGAAAAAAAGCTGAAAAGAAGAGGGCATGAGATCCCAAAGTTTGAAGGGATCCTAGAAATGATCAAATCTAAGCTTTGCTCACCATATTCTCACACACAGATTTCCCTAGTTTGCCATCAATGTTTAAAATACATTTTAGTAATGGGTCCCGATTCCTAATATCTACAGGCATAGTAAATGAGGCACAATAGTTAGAAACAGGCTTTGTAGTTGTAAGCCTGGCTAAACCACTTGCTAGATGTTCACTCTTAGGTTAGTTTATCAAACATTTATTTCTTCACCTACAAATGTGGATAATAGAGGTAGAGAGAGGTGGAGGTAGAGAGAAAAAGGAGAAAGAATGTTTGAAGGAGAAAGCAAAGGAAGAGAAATCTGTAAAGTATATTGCCAAGGAAAGCAGAAATAGAATTTAAGGTAGGGAAGGTTGTTTACAGCATCAGATGAACCAAACAGGTCAAGGTGGTTGAGACCAGCCAAAAAGTCACTGACTTTGACAATTTGGAGGTCACTGGTGATCTTTAAGAAATCAATTTTAGTATAAAAGGAGAGAGGCAGATTGTAGGAAAGGATAAAGTAACAGGAATGGATGGGAGAAAAAGGAATTAAAACAGGAGGTAAGATGAGGAACCAGAACTGCAGTCAAGGTCCCCTCCTCAATTTGCAGTGACAGGAGAGGGAGGAAGATGGCTTTGATTTAAAGGGGTCACTGGGTTCAGTGATATAATGGCTGGATATGTAGCTTAGCTTAGAACTGAAATGGCTGGAAGTTCTGTTAAACTTCCTCCTTGCCAAGATGCAGGGAATGGTGACAAAGGAAGAAGGAAGTCCCTACTCACAAAATATTTTCTCTCTTCCTTTCGTCTAGTACTACATAGGAAGAAAAAGAATTATAAAGCAATCTGCCCATTTATAATACCATAAGATTGCCAGCTGAACAATTATAAGAGACTCCCTATATAGTAAGACCTCAGTAATTTGGACTTCACTTTTTTTGGAATTTGTGGTAATTTAACCTGGGCTGGAGTTACAAAAAAAGGGTACTAGTTAAAAAGAAAGGGTTCACTAGGCAGTGTGAAAAAAGACTGCAAGGGAGCTAATTTAGCTTGCCAAGGCCTATTTCACCTATTTAAAGAAAATTGTCTTTTTTAAAGAACTTCAGCATATTCATTATTTGAATGCAAATTGATTCTGCTAATTATAGATTAGCATAATCTACTGCTAAAATCCTATATCTGCAACAGTTACTTTGCTCTCACTGAATACGCTCATTAGAAATAAAACTGCAATTCTTTAAAGTTAGTTCACAATTCAGATGAATTCATACCCCCTTTCCCCACCCTCATGAGTTAACTACAGTTCAGGAGGTATTACTCTAAATTAGCATATCACTTATCAGGAACACAGTGGAAAAACTAATAAGTGATCAAAAGGCCTCAGAGCAGCCAAAATAGGTGTCTTACAGTTGATGCCCTAAATCCTATAACTCTCTCCATAGCAGGTTCTCTTACAGCTGATTTAACTCTTACTTAACACAATAATCTGACGTACCAACTTGGAGCTGGCTGGGTTTTTTTTTTTGTTTGTTTTGTTTGTTTGTTTGTTTGTTTGTTTTTTAAAGTTTGTAACTGATTAGAAGGAGAAAAAGAGCTGCTGCATGATGGGACACCAAGAGAAATCAGAAATGACTGCAGGAAGGAGACAGGACATATATAAAATATGGCTGTAATAACTAAAATGCTACCAGAGTCTAGGACATTTTAGTATAGAGATAAAAGGCCTATATTCTTTAGCAAACCCTGAAAGCTATAATATAGTATTATGGCTCAGTACAATAACTAATATCTGGAACTATGCTTCTAAATGATCAAGCAGAGTGGAATACATGCCTTAAAAAGGCAGATACAAAAAAAAAAAGGCAGATACATTCACACACACAAAATTTATACCCATAATGGTTAATGTAAAAATGTGAAATGTGTTAATGCTTAAAAAGATCATAGTATTACATAATAATAACAAAATAATAGCAACATTTATTAAGTAATTACTATGTGCAGATACCATGCTAAGCACTTTACCTATATAATTGCATTTAAATCCTAATAGGTGGGTTTTAGTATCATTTCTACTTTACAACTGAAGAAAGTGAAACTTGGAGAGGTTGAGGAACCACCCCCAGGCCACAGACAGAAATAGAGCTGGGATTAGAACTCACACGAATTCCTTAGCTATAAACTATGCCTTTCCAATGTTCCAGAAAATACAGCTCTCTAAAAATCATTCTTAAGGGCTCCAGATAGCTGGTTTTACTGTTTTTGTTTTCTGAAATTGTACTTGACCTTGATTTAGAAGCAGAAAGACCTATAATCTAAGAACCAGATATGACATTATATGTTTGTAAACATGCTCCATGTTGTAAGGCAAATATAAGAGTAAAAAAAAAAAAGCCCCATCCCCAAATCTCAGATCAGTCTGTAGACACTATGGATACTGTTTCCAAATGAATTGCCAAGCAACAAAGAGATACATTTTAAAATACCAAATGATCAGTTAGGATTTAGTTCTCCTTTTTTTTATAAATTTATTTTTTATTGGTGTTCAATTTGCCAAAATATAGAAAAACACCCAGTGCTCATCCCATCAAGTGCCCCCCTCAGTGCCCATCACCCAGTCACCCCCACCCCCCCGCCCACCTCCCGACTCCTAACTCTGGGATTTAGTTCTCCTGTTGCTTCCCCACTCTTTTCGGAGAAATTTAACCTGAGCATAGGCTAATGGAACACTAAAGTAGAGGGGGGATTGCAGGGGAGGATAAAAACTCAGTTGGCTCTTACAAACGGTTTAGGAAAATCTCATCACCTGTTCGAAGAGAGCTATGAGGCATAAAATGCACGTGGACAGAGTGCATACTGCAGGAGACAAGGGTGAGGTGGGGTGGCTACAACTATATACAGTTATCTGCATTACAAGCAAAAGTGAGGGTAGCCCACCACATGTACATACAAAGAAAAATGTATCCCTAAACCATTCATCCATGCAATGCTTCTACTAAAATCAATGCTCTTTACTCATTTTTTTTTGTCTCAGGCCTACCCAAACAATGGCCAGTTACAGAGGTCACTTCCTTTTAGAGAGGTGGGAGGATGGTGGTAAGGGAAGAGGGAGAGGGAGAATCTCAAGTAGGCTTCATGCCCAGTGCAGAGCCTGATGTGGGACTCGATCTCAAAGCCTGACTCAGGGCTCAATCTTGTGACCCCAAGATCATGACCTGAGCTGAAATCAAGAGTTGGACACTTCACCACCTGAGCCACCCAGGCACCCCTACAAATCTCACTTCTGCTGTGAAGTGTTCCATGATGCCCAAATCTAAATTCAGTCTTTCCCGTTTGTGCCCCCATTGTTTTTCCCCCCTTTTCCACACTTACCACAGCACCAATGATACTCTGTCTTGTTATTTGAATTATTGTCTGTGCTTCCCCCCTCCCACCACAGGTTACTTGAGGGCAGGGGACTCTTTCTGGTTCCTGTAGTCCCTACAAATGCCAGCACAATGCCAGTCACATACTAGGCTCTGGGAAAATGGTGACTCCGTAGCACTGGCTCAAGACGGTGCATCATTGCCTAGCTTACCTGAAGGAGCATTTGTTCTCT